AATAGACACGGTCTATACGTAGAAGTTGGTAAGTACATTTTTAATAATTTAATTCTTAGTAATTTTTATTGATGTTTTATTTCAGCTACCAATGACGACGAGGACGCCACATCACTCCCCTGCCGAGACCGTTTCACGGTCGATAGTAGTCCGGAAATTTAACTAATCTTCCACTTCTAGTCTTTTTTTCAGGTGGCGGTGCATCGTGATTGGTGTGGAACGGCAGTGCGGTCATCGGTGGACGAATGGTCGTGTCGTATTCTCTGTTTTCTTTCGTAAGGTAAGCTGGTTTTATTCTGTCTATTGTTACTGTAACTTCTTTGCCTTTTATGTCTAATGAAAATGTTTTTGTATTTCTTTTCAGAACTTTATAAGGGCCGGTATATGGTGATTCAAGCGATCGTTTTGCGGGACCACGGCGAAGAAAAACAAACTGTGCAGTATGTATGTCATTCGGCAAATAGAATGTTTTACTGTTGTGGTTTGATGCAGGAGTTGGGGTTAATGCTGCCATATGATTTCTCAAGCGAGCTGTATAGTCTGCTGGATTTAGGTTCTGGTCAAGCGAAGTTGAGAAAAATTGTCCCGGTAGTCGTAGTGGTTCTCCATATACTAGCTCGGCGGCTGATGCCTGCAGATCTTCTTTCCAGGCAGCTCTTATTCCTAGTAGCACTAGGGGAAGTGTTTCAGTCCACTGTGGGTTGTTGTGACAGATGATGGCTGCTTTTAGTTGGCGATGTAATCTCTCCACCATTCCATTGCATTGCGGATGGTATGAGGTGGTGGGACGATGTTCTGCGCCGATCAGGTTGGTGATGCTTTGGAAGAGTTGTGATTGAAATTGTAAGCCTCTGTCTGTTGTTACAGTTTGTGGACATCCATGACGAGATACCCAGTTGGTAATGAACGCGGAAGCACAAGTTTCTGCTGTAATATCCGCTAGTGGATAGCCATCAGGCCAACGTGTGAAGCGGTCTATTGCTGTCAGGCAGTATCTAAAGCCATTAGAGTATGGTAATGGGCCTATAATGTCCAGGTGTACGTGGGCGAAACGTTCTGATGGTACTGGAAAGGTTGTAAATGGTGCGTTCGTATGTCTGTTGACTTTACTTCGTTGGCAGTCTACGCATTCCTTTGCCCAAGTTTTGCAATCGCGTCTTACTCCGGGCCACACAAATCTTTGAGCTACCATTTTAGCAGTGGTAGGGCCGCTTGGATGTCTGAGTTGATGTATGGTTTCAAAAACGCGTTTGCGATAGGCAGGTGTTATGTACGGTCTAGGCGATTTGGTGGAAAAATCGCAGTACAGCTGGTTTTCAGCAATCTGTTTCAGTTGTAGTGCTGTGTTTTTGGTTAGCAAAGCTTGCAATTCAGGGTCTTGAGCCTGATCTCTTGCAAGTGCGTCGTAATTTATAGTGACAATCTCTTCTACACGTGATAGGGCGTCAGCGACGATGTTGTCTTTCCCGGGGATGTATTTTAGATCGGTGGTGAATTGAGATATGTAGTCAAGATAGCGGAATTGTCTTGGAGAGCACTGGCTTCTGTTTGTTGTGAAGGCGTAGGTGATGGGCTTGTGGTCGGTGTAAATGCAAAAGTTTCTTGCTTCCAACATATATTTAAAGTGTTTGATACCTTCGTATATGGCCAGTAGCTCCCTATCGTATGGACTATATTTTTTTTGCGATGTCGTCAGTTTACGAGAGAAAAATCCCAAGGGTTCCCAGTTGCCTTTTCGTTTTTGTTGCAAGACAGCGCCGATGGAGTCGTCTGAAGCATCTGTGAATAAGGCTAGATCCAGGTTGATTTCAGGGTGGACAAGAAGAGTGGCTTGAGATAGGCTGCGCTTGCACTCATTGAAAGCTGTTACAAGGTTAGTCATATCGATAGGTGCATTTCCTTTGATGTTACCTGTTAGGGCATCGTTCAGAGGAGCCTGTATCTTTGCTGCATCAGGGATGAATTTCCGGTAGTAGTTTATCATTCCCAGGAACCGTCGGAGTTGCTTTGCTGTTTTCGGCTGTGGGTAGTTGGTAATTGCTTCCACTTTCTCTTTGAGAGGGCGTATGCCTTCAGTCGAGACGCTGTAGCCGAGGAAAGTTACTTCGTTAATGCCGAATATGGACTTAGAGGTGTTTATTAAGATGCCATACTGGTTAAGTCGTTCGAAGACAGTTTTAAGGTGCTGAAGATGGAGTTCTCTGGTCTTCGAGAATACTAGGATGTCGTCAATATACCCATATGTAAATTCCAGGCCTTGAAGAACTTCATCGATGAATCTTTGGAAGGTTTGAGCAGCGTTTCTTAAACCAAAGGTCATATACGGAAATTCGAACAGTCCGAATGGTGTCGTTATGGCTGTTTTAGGTATGTCCTCATTCGCGACAGGTATCTGATTGTAGGCCTTAATCAGGTCAATCTTTGAAAATATTTTAGCTCCAGACAGCTGGTAAACAAAGTCATTAATCTGTCTTATTGGATATCGATCAGGGATGGTTCTGGCATTAAGTGCTCTATAGTCGCCGCATGGTCTCCAACCGTCGTCCTTCTTTTTGGCTAAATGTAAGGGAGACGACCATGGGCTCTCTGATCTACGAGCTGTTCCATTTGCGTACATCTCTTCAAACTCTTTTTTCGCAATAAGCAGTCTATCTGGGGCTAAACGTCTGGGACGAGCTGCGACTGGTGGACCAGGGGTAGTACGTATATGATGCTTCGTTTGGTGCTTGGTTTCTTTTGGCTTTCCAGTAGGTTTCGTTACATCTGGGTAGTTGCGAAGTAAGTCGTGAAAGTCGGAGTTTCCAGCAACTGTTTTGATGGTCACCGTTTCCACAGCAATGTTGGCGCAGCGTGGCGCGTTGACGGACAAACTTGTGAGGCCGTCGATGAGGCGGTGACGACGACAGTCCACTAATAGGTTGTAGTGGCCCAAGAAGTCAACACCAATGATGGGTCGTGTGACGTCCGCAACTACGAATCTCCAGGTGAAGTCCCGGCGAAGTCCGAGGTCCAGGTGTAAGGATATGTAGCCATACGTAGCTATGATAGTGTTGTTGGCAGCGTATAACTCATATTTAGTTTTATGACGCTGGTCTCTGGTCGCCGACTTAGGAAAAACGCAAACGTCAGATCCCGTGTCTATCAAGTACTTCAGTTTAGTTTTCTTTTCGACGATGAAGAGGCGGTCATTAGGAGTATGCGTTAGGCAGTCGTTAGCCGCCACTACAGGCTGCCGTTCGCGTTTAAAGTCTTGTAGGAACAGGGCGTGAGACATTTTATGGCGCCTTCACCGAATTTTCTGTGGTAGTAACACACGCTATTCATTTTGTTTTCCTTCCATCTTTGGGTGGAGCGTGAGTGAGATCTTGATCTGTTATACCTACGTTGTGGTGATCTGCTTGATCGGCTATTATGCATGCTCAGGGAAGCAACTTGCTTGGTTAATTCGTTAACTTGCCTGGCCAAGCTTTCTAAAACGGTGAGGTAGTGGTCTGGAGGATTTCCAGCATGTTGGTTAGCTGAGGACGATGTAGCGGCGTAAACATTTGGTGGTATTTTAATTCCAACTTTGAAAATTTCATGTGCACCTTTTTCCATATTGTCCGTGTCCCCACCGTTTTCGCCTTGCATGGCAAAAGTGCTAAGACCGCGTGGCGTGTAGTTTTTCTTACTCTTATCACGTCGGGGTCACCAGTATAGTGTTCGCGTTGTCGTATAAACACTATATAAATAATAAAACTTATGTGATCTCAACGATGTATATATTTTCGTAAAAATAAACCGCGGCGTCGGCAGCGAGTTGCACGTGTGTCGCTTAAGAAATCGTGGGCCGTACTGGTGGCGGAGCGCGCTGTGGAATGCGCGTGCCTCGCCCCCCGCCTGCCGCGGAGAACAATAGACACGGTCTATACGTAGAAGTTGGTAAGTACATTTTTAATAATTTAATTCTTAGTAATTTTTATTGATGTTTTATTTCAGCTACCAATGACGACGAGGACGCCACAGATTGAATTGTCAGTCTATGACAGCTAAAATTGGATTGAGATTGCATATTGGTTTTGGCCGATAGATTATATTAGCTGAGACAACTCAAGTTTCAGAGGTTGACATTTACCACAAGTTGTCTAACACATTTTCGCTTTGTCAGTTGTCACGTGTACAATTGTGTGGGTTGTGATTGTGTAGTAGGGATGGCGATTCTTTACGAAAAAGATCGATTTTTAAATCGATTCGAATCGTAGTCTAATGAATCGATTCACGAAAAAATCGAGGCCTACAAAATCGATTCTTAAAAAATCGATCTTTTTTTCAAGTTTGCGTTTACAATGTAAATTTGTATCAATTTTACTAAAAACAAGATTAATATTGCAATTAACGATATCTTATCAATAAAATCAGGGAATTCAAAAATAACAATTATTTTTATTACCGTATCAAACTATAAGATCAACTATAAAAAAAAAATAAGTATTTATATACTGAATGTTTTCAATTCATTAAACGACAACAACAAATGAATAATGCATTATGCAATATCAATCGTCACAGATTATAAATACATAAAGTCAAAGACTACAAACGTAACTTTTTTATTAAAGAGAGGCGAGTAAAGGATACTAAACATACAGCCATCTCGCGAGTTTATGAGTAGTTAACTCTTTAACCGGCAGCACTCTTATAATTCAGGCACATTCAACTAAATGCAAATAATTGTATGGTTTATACCAAAACAGAAAAAAATCGAATGTCGATTTTCAAGGGTGATATATCGATTCAGTGAATCGACACAGTACTTCATATCGATTTAAAAAATCGATATTTTCTGCTCGAAAAATCGATTCTTCGATTAATCGATCTCAGATCGCCATCCCTATTGTGTAGTTTAGTTTTAATTTGTTGGTTATAAAATTTAACTATACCCACGCTTGATGATTAAATGTTAAAACTAAATCTTGCTCAGACATCAAATTAAGTGTTAGTGATTACTATATTTTGTCACTATGGTTGCAGTAAAACCAAAACTTCTTAAGAAGGAAAAACTTCCAGGTATCAAAATTAAATCGAAAAAACCATTTAAGAAAACCGGTACTGCTAAGGAGCATGTTAAATCGAATAATGTAAAAAATAAAATAAAAGAAACGTCGATTGTAAGCTCTACGAAGAAGAAAGTCAAATACATTTATCCTTCCAAAGCTATTGATGAAAATTTATTAGATTTATCTTTAAATGCTCTTAGTAAGTTAACAGAGAATTACAACACAAAAAATATGATTTTTGGTGATGAAAATCCAATATTTTTGCAAATCCGTTGCATAAAAATTCAAAACACTACAGGAAATATAAAGTTGTAAGTAAGATTGATACTATTTTGTATAAAAAAAAAGCTTAACAATTCTCATACTGTATAATGTATGAAATCTAATATTTCAAAAAGTTCATATGCTATTACATGGGGTATCATATCAATATTACTATATTTATTAATTGTTTTAAGAGGTGTAGTGTAAGGACATCCTTCACCATGTATTTAAGATACACATCTATTTAAGAAATATTTACAGGCTTCTCATTAAAGAAATTAATACCTAATATTTTTTTAGTGTCCTACCTCACAGTACAGCTGCTTCAACAGGAGAAATATGTTTAATAACACCAGATTTGAAAAAAGGAAAGAAACCTGACCATGAACCTACTATTGAACATTGGGAAGATCTTTTGAGAAAAGCTGGAGTTACCAGTGTATGTATAGTAATATTAAAATATCTATCTTTCAAAAAGCAGTGACCAATACTGACTGACTGTTATATTATTTTAATATTTACAATATATATATAATAGTAGGTGTTAATCTAGTTATTTGGGAGCTTGATTTAGTACTGTTATAAATTAGATAATAGTTTTGTATAATTTATTTGTAATATGTTTCAGGTGAAAACCATACTACCCATGCGACAGTTACGAGTAGAATATGATCAGTTTGAATTGAGAAGAAGACTTATGACACAACATGACTTTATTATGGTTGATACAAGAGTTTTAAATCATGTATCCCACCATTTAGGAAATATGTTTTTCAAGAAACATAACATGCTTATCCCAGTAAATATTAATGAAAAGAAAGATTTAAAAAAGGATATTGATGTTGGATTGCGCACTGTTATGTTAAGATTGAATGAAGGTGCTATATCAAATTTGGTAGTTGGACACACTGGAATGCCTCAAGGACACATTAAGGAAAATATACTAGCTATTATTAAGCAATTAGCAGAAAGATATCCTGGAGGAGAACCAAATATAAGATCTCTTTTTCTTAAATTACCACAGTCACTTTCTCTACCTATATATATGACACTGAGTAAGTTCCTAATTATTTCATGAACAGTAATACTGAATGATTATTATATAGGATATTTTTAGGCTGATGATAAATTTAGCTAAGATTTACTAATGGTGTATATAAACTTTGTGGTATATATAAAACATTATTTCATAAAAATTAAATATTGTCTAGATTCTAGAATGTTTAGTACCTTCAATCCGTTTCATTTCAATAATTTAACTAGTTTTAACATACTGCTAGTTTTTAAGTAAATGTAAATATATGTTTTTACAGGACCCTCTAATCTGATTGCACCACCAAAAATTAAGAAACATGTACCAAAAGAATTCAGAGAATATGAAGATGAACTTTCAACAATACCAGGTGCTATTGTTAAAATTGCTCCGGATGGAAGTGTCTATGTAAAAATTCAAAAGGATAAATTAACAAAAAAACAGTATGTTTCTATATAATTTGTCAATTAATTAAAGATTATTTTATATGCTTTTTGTGAGACACTAGTCCCACTAATATTTTTAACCCTAAACAAGTCAGGTTAAATAAGCCTGTTAATTTTAGTATAGGTAACACACTAACAACATTTTTGTATCTCTTTATAGTGGTTTATTAAATAATCAAAAAATTAAGGCTATAAAATTTTTATTTTTACAAAAGAAATTCACATAATAATCATGCAATGGTTGATAGTATCAAAAAGTTTTAAATATAGTTAATATTCATTATCTGCTGTATTGCTAATTAAAAAATGTTGATGATAATATAACCTTCAGTGTCATAAAAAAATCTTAAGATGGATATTTTTTTTACAGAGACAACAAAGAAGATGGTCAACATGAAGAAATGGAAGAATCTAGTGATAATGAAAGTGAATAGAATATTCATTACTTTATTGTAAAATAATAAACTTTAAATCATAATAAATTGTATGCATTTAACTAACAGTTATATATCAACTTTTACCAGTACCAGACTTCTAAGAAATAATAGACACTTGCATTTTGGGAGGCCAAACTTTTTTAAACTTCTTGAAATTCTTAACTTCACCCAGAATTGGTTTAATTTCAATAGGTTCTCTTTTTATGATTAGGTCATTCCTTAAGATAATTGTAGTACTGCCAATATCAATGTTATGAAACTTTTCATCCAAATCTGATATATCCTCCTTCTTTATTGTCCTTGTGTTAACAAGGTTAGAGTTTTTTTCCATTAATTCTTGTAATTTAGTGCCACGCAATTCCTCCACCTTAACATTGTCTACTTTAACAATATTTGTCTCGGGTATTAATTCCTTTTCATTAATTAAATTAGTTTCTGTACAGGGTTTCTTTTTTCCCAAAAAATTGAATAGGTCATCATCATCTTCACTAGCCATTTTTCTTTTAGATGGTTTGGCCAAATTTAACTTTTTATCTGTATTCTTGTTTGTTTCATTAGTAACAAAGTTGAATATTCCATCATCATCATCATTACTTAATGCAATTTTTTTAGAACTGTTGCTTAAGTCTTCCTCAGCTACCCTTTTTTTTCCATCATATGATGAAACACTATGAGCGTGAATTTTTTTATTACTGAAGCTGTCATCATTTTCAACACTTAATTTCCTTTTTTTTTTTGAAATTTCAGAAACAGTGTCATTTTTGGAATTTAAACTTTCATTTATTACAACATTTTCTTTCTTATGAGAATCTTGTGATGATTCTTGTGTCTCTGGTGCTAAAATTTTATTACTTTTAACAGCAGCACCAGTTACTTGCTTAATAACTTCTGATGTAAAATTAAAATCGGGATTACAATACTTATTGGTGGAACAGTAAAGAATTGCCAAACCAATTTCAGGATCTGGTATTAACCTTTTGCCCTTGCTTTTTAAAAATCCAACAATATTATTTATTTGTTCTTTTTGAGCTTGGCTTTCTTGAGAAGTTGATGTTATATTATACTGTATAACAATAACATTTGGTTCACAAAGACCCGACTTTGTCATTTTGCATTCACTTAATAAAAGAGGTTTAGCAGAACTTTTCAACAATACCACTTCATACATTTCCATCTGTCTCTTTGAGAAAAAAACAAAGCTTTTTCCACCAAAAAGCTCTTGTCTCTGATCATTGGGTAAAAATGAAACAATTTCTTTATTTAATGTAGTTTCTACAATTTGAGGCACAAAGTCTTTTGGACTTGGTAAAGGCCCATTTGTGTTCACTGCTTCAAGACACTTCTTCCAATATTCTGTTGTCACAATATGTGAGCCTTGCACTAATGCTAACACAACTTTTATTGTTAATGTTATTGCAGGCATAGTTAAATAATAACATGTGTCATCCCAGTTATTTTTTAATTCTCCCCCTAGCTTCACTAGATGTACGCTTAAAGTTTGAAGATTTTCCCCCTTTAGAGTGGAGGTGCATGTTATGAAATGAAGTTGATTTACTTTCCATATACAGTTCATTTTACCAAATTTTACAACATCACCAGAATTTATTATGTGGTCAACCTCACTGACCACTTTCTCAAGATTATTGTTGATATAAGTTCCATACTTTGATCCTAGATCGCGAAGGACAAGTTCACCATCCTTGACAGACAACGTTGCATGCTTCCTACTTAGAGAGGGATCATCAGGAACTGCAAAATTACTATTCTGAGCATCAATGCTTCGACCTACCGTGACATTTTTATTTTCGTTAACGTAAATTATTCTACTCTCACTATTTGAGGTAAGGAACCACATTTTACAGATCTAATTTGGCGTAATAAGTTAGCATAAACGGGTTTTTGTCACATGTAGGTTATCGAATAGTATTGTAGTTTAAGATTGATATACCTCACTGTCCAGTTACGAATTTCTTCACTTTAGCGCACTGCGCGATTACAACTTATAATTGCTTTAACTTGTAAGTGTTTTACAAACTATTCGATTTCGAAAATAAGATGCCGATCAAGCTTATTTCAAAAATCAAATTAAAGTTTATATGCATTATGCATTGATATTATGACAACAAAAGTTACAATTGACATTTTGTAAAATTACTTTGCGAAGTCTGTGAAGTTTATAATTATACGAAAATAAATTGACTTAAAAGGTTTCGTTACCAGGGGGGTCTAGCCAACATGGCTTAACAGTAGTGTATGTAGAAAGTCGAAAACTAAATTTGTATGAAAATGACAGCTCGTGTCGACAGTCGGTAGCCTAGGCCCTAAAGGCGTGAGTCGGGATACAATAAGCGACGCCATGGCAGTGCACACATTGTGCGTTTTCCAATTACAGCACTAGAGCGCATTTTGCGGCATAATGCTCAACGTCGAGTGTTCCAACTACAGCAACGCTTCGCACAATTGAGCACTCTCAAAATGAATGCTCTCGCGAGCTTCTCGCAAACAATACCAACACAGTGACAGAAAATTGACCAGTATTTTTCTTTAAGTTGGCATTTATCGAAATTTTCATTAGTAAATATTATTTATTGTTGAAAAATTTGTAAGGCTTTCGTTTCGTCGTAGATTTTGAAAATAATTAAAGTTATTTCAAACTGCTAAAAAAAAAAAAATATTAGTATGGATGATAAATAGTTACTTTTTTTATATTCCACATTTAAAATATGAATACAATTTTATTTTAAAATTCGGATCTGTAAACAAATTTATTTTACAGGATTATACTTTAGAAAAAATTGCAATGGTTTTGAAAAGTATTTAATTTTTTTAGAAATCATTAAAAAATATTACTTAAAACGTAAATGATGTAAACTTCTTACATGAAACTAAATATTTTACTGTTAATTTAGCTTGTTAAAACCTTATATTCTTCTAAAGGTTTTCTATTATTTCAATAAAAAAAATGTTAATGAAACAATTTGATGATTAAAATAAGCGTAAAAAGTTTTCAACCAATTATTATTGTTTACCACATTATTTATACATTAATGAGGTTGCTTACTCAATTCATAACATTTTTTTTACAACACTGACTTAGCGCACTCTGCTGATGCATTTGAAAACTAATTCACGTTCCAATTAAGCTTCAGAATTATGCGGCATTGTGCGGCACTGAGTCGCAAAATGCTCTGTAATTGGAAAACGCACATTAACGCTTACGCTATTCGGTAGCCAACGGCCAATTATAAATGTTTCGGCAGTGTAGAAAAAACGGCGTTTCTCCGCCATGTTTTTACGTGATCTCAAAAGTTTGCAATAATTCAGTACAACTATCGCCATCTTTAATGGCTACCGTTTTAAAAACATGTCATATTTTAACGAAAAGGTTTTGATTAAGTTATCGGGCTTTTTAAACGTTCTCGTATAATTATAATAATTTAACCCTTTCAGACCTGAATCATTTTTATTCATCCGATGGATTTGGTAAATTCCATGTGTCGAAAGTATAATAAGGAGACTATATAAAAAAAATTATTAGCCTTAAACTTTTCGGGAAAATCTAGTTTTTCTTAATGTGCACAAATGTGGACTCCCGTTCTACATAGTAATAAGAATAACATGTGCAAAGTTGTTCTGAAATTAAATAATATTAATTTAGAAACATTTTTATTACAAAATTATAAATGAATTAACATAGTTAAATATTTTCTATGAAATAAAATAAACATTTATTAGTTTTTTGGCATAATCAGTCATTAGCACAAATACAAAACACAGTAAGAACAATAATTAGGAAAAAATATATCTTTATCTATGTGTGGAAGTCCAAGAAGCAATTCTTGTCTTTGGTTAGGCATAAATGAACTTTGCACTTTATGCATTTGACAAGGGATTTTCCCTTGCATCCCTGATCCCACCATTTTACACCTAGTGCCGGTTCCATCGTCATGTGTAGGGAAATGCCCAACACCGTCACGAGTAGTTACATCTCCGTCTCTGCTACCTACATACTTCTTGAGAAAAACCCCTAGGCTTCTTATTTGTTTCCTTGTCACTTAAAAACGGTGGTTTAACAAATCTGTTAACACGAGCTGTGCATGCGGCCATAATCCCCTTTTGTTTTAGGATTTGTAGTAAATGGTATGATGAAAAATAATTGTCAAAGTAAAGCTCATGACCCTGGCTTTCTCTGATTCTCTGTGCGAGATGTACAACTATCGAGGCACCATAGCCAATCTTTTTTTGCGATATTACTATCAAGTTCTGGATAGGAGGTCTGGTAAAGAATAAAATCATAGGCTTGGCCATGTTTACCACATAAAAAAAAAGATTTTGAGACCCCATGGACAAGGTTTTCCTTTTATATATTGTTTGGTTACATGTTTTCCGGTGAAAGGAACCATCTGTTCATCAACGCAAAGTTGTTGTTCAAGTGGTAACTCTTAGGCTGCTGCCTCGAATTTTGCGGGCAGCGGCGGCGGCGCGGGAGCGGCAGGATCTTATGCGTAAAATCAAATGGACCGGTTCTCGAAAACAGCGGCGTCAGGCGTGGCAGCGGCGCGAGGGCGGGTAACGAGAGGTGAAATCGCCCGCTCCCGCGCCGCAGCCACCGCCGCCCCGCTGCCCGCAAAATTCGAGGCAGCAGCCTAAGCTTCGATTCCTGACAGCATCATAAATGGGTCTCACTTTGTGAAATGCATCTTTGCAATCAGCCGGAATTTACATAATTCCCGTACGTTAAAGAAAACATCGTAAAGAATCCGTCATGCCTTAGAAAAAAATGGCTGGCGTGTCAGGCCCAGACTTTTTGTGTTTAAAAATTAATATGTAACAGATAGACCACTGGTGAGCCACACACTTTTTTTCTTATGAGATAGAATAAAATAATATCTCAAAAATAGGCAATGCAATGTTGTGTTTGTCAGCTTCACAGATTTGATCAGCACTCAGCTAGAGGCGTATATAGAGGTGGGCCAGGTGGTTCATGGCCATCTCAGGACATCCAATGTTGGGTTACAAACTTGAAATTCTAGAAAGAAGATGTGCCAATTGCTATTATACTGAGCAATCAGCAGTGAGTGGTGTAGCAGGCTGTCTTCACACATGAAAATTAACTAACTTCAAACAATAATTGTTATATAGCCATATTGATACTGTATACTTGGGTAAATACCTCTAGATACCCAAGTAAATTCAAGTTCAAAGACCTTTTATCTAACCTCTTACATACCTTTATACATATTAGCACTTCTTAAAAAAAGTTACCAAGCTTAAGTCAGTTTTTTAAAATGAGTAAAGTCATAAATTAACAGTGTGGCATTTATTATTATAACAAAATACAGTAATATAATGCTTATATACATATGTGATAATCATTAAAAATAACTTTAAGAACTAGCTACTTGTTTTAAGGGTCCTTCTAAATATTGTGCAATTGCATTAATTTTTTCTTTCAAAATACCAAAGCCAACAGTTTCTTTAGAATACAAGCACAGTAATAAATTAGCTACTTGGGTAACAGCAATCTTTCCATTCTGACAGTCTACAAGAATTAAATGTAATTTATCTTCTTTAAAAACATTTTTCCCCTGTTTCTCATATGCTGACCAGACATTACTTGCAATCGCAGCTGTTACTCTTGCATCCTTATCATTGTAACCTGAATATGCGAGGAGTGCACCTTGATGTGTCAAAAGCCTGAAAGTTAAGAGTAAAATTGTCAAAACTATGAAATTTAACACAAATGAGTAAAACAATGGTTTTTATAGTTACAATGTATTTTCTACACCTCCTGTATTTGCTTGACTAAGCACTTGTGTCAACGCTTTTGGTTTTAACATTTTAACAAATATGTGATACACTGTTTGAAATCAGGCTGTATATAACAGTATATTACACGTTATTGGATAATATTGAATTGATTACGTCTCCTTAAAGCCACATTCTAAATTCTGTTATCAAATGTAAGTTTTACAAAGATACTTTAATCACATTAATTATTTTTTTACTTTAAAATTTATTATTTGTACTTCCTTGCAAGAGATTATTTATGCCTTAGTTGATACTTGATAGAATAATGACAGGAGTCAGCACAATAATGCACAGTAGTCAGTGAGACCCATTAACAGTAACATGGTTATGACACTGACAGTAGTGTTGTATCTGTAGTTTCGACCATAGAAATGAAAACGTAATAAAGAAAGAAACGAAATTTTACATAGAATGGGTTTGCAGTTTGCACAGATATATGCCTATGGTATATAGTATATAATATACACACAGCAACGTAAGAAACAGAAAGGCTTCTTTTGTTAGAAAGATACTACTAATTAGGTATGATCGATATTAGAAAAACATCGATATTGACATCGATGTCATAATCGAAAGCCCAACATCGATGTATATTTATCGAAAACCGATTGATTGCCGAAATGATTTTTGCATTAATTATTATTGACAAAAAAATAAAATACGGTGAAATGGTTCAAATTTATTAAGAAACAGAACAAATTATTACATATTCCGATATTTTTTATCAACTGACTGAATGAAAAGTAATAAAGAAGAACCTTTTACTCTATTTCATTGTGATTAGATTTGAGGATGCGTTCATAGAAGACATAATTTGTTTCGTAAGTAGAAGTACTAAGTTGCATTGGTCGGGCGGGAGGCCGTGAGTTAACATCGGTGTTACGATATTTTTAGTATAGCAACATCGATGTTTTTGCTTTCATGAGTTTCAAGTTTCAACATCCAAAATAGGGATGTGACATTCTGCAAAAAAAAATCGATTTTTTATTAATCGATTATTTTTTTAGCATGAAAAATCGATTAATAAATAATCGATTTTTCTTTAAAAAATAATCGATTTTTTCCTAATTTTTGAATTAATTTCAAAATAAACACCCTAAATATTTTATTTTTCATGGTTTTGTTTTATTTTTCAATTAAAATAAACAATAGAAATTATAAACACAAATTAACGTTTAAGAATAATGAAAATCGAAATTAAATTATTCTCGTTTTGATAGATTTTAGGTGAAATTTGATAAATGCTGAGTGTATACCTTTTCAGTAGCACATTGCAGTATTTTTGTTGTCTTTTTAATTGTATGTAGTCTTGTGCTGCTGAATAAATTTATTTTACTTTTAAATTATAGTGTTCCATTCAAACTTGAGTTTTTGTAAAATTAACTGGTTTTATCATCCTTTCGATGTTTTACAAAAAAACATCAATGCATCGAGTATATCAATACATCTTCAAAGAATCGGATTCAATGTATCGCATTGTAAACATCGTTGTATATCGAATATCCCTAAGAGTTCGAGGTTCGGGTTATAAAAGACCAGACATAATGTCGGGGGGTGGCAGATGAAAAACCGACTGATTGATTTTCAATTATAAAAATAATCGACTATGATTGATTTTTAATTATAAAAATAATCGATTATTAATCGATTATTTCAAATATAAAAATCGCGTAAAAAAATCGATTTTTACTTTTCAAAAAATCGATTAAAATCGATTTTTTTAATAATCGATTATTTTTTCACATCCCTAATCCAAAATCATCGAGCATCCCTACTACTAATGATTATCATTTATCATATCTTTATAGTACACTATTATAATATACTATATAGTAATGTATTTATTATATTTACTTATTATAAATTATGATAAAGCCTTTATTGTATTAATTTTAAACTACTTATATAATAAACATTTTTACAAATAAAAGTTTAAAGATATGTCATATAATGTATACAGTATAACTTAAAGACAAAGACATATGAATTATAATTAAAAGTATTGTTATGCATGCATTGTATAAGAAAAAGCCTGCCTCCTCTTTTCCAGTCCCAATCTATGAAAATCTGAACTTAAATTATAAGGAGGAAATATTTGTATTTTCATAACAAATAAACTAAATTACAAGACAAATTATAAAATTCTTTCACCATAAATATACTACATTATCCTTGAGTAACATAGGCTATAATATATGGCTATATGTGCCTATTTTATGTCCAAAACATTTCAAGCTGAGACTATTTTGACTGGGATATATGACATACGAGTAACCTAACCACAACATTCTTAGCCATGTATTTAAATCATTAGTAATAAATGGTTTTACCATTTGTTACATTAACTATAGTTAAATGAATAACCATTGGTAAAATCGTAAATGCGTTTTTCAATGCCTTTTTAACTATAGTTAAAGTTAACAATTTGTCAATTTGTTGCCAGTGCAATGAGCAATGACATCCCAAAAAATGTGGTTCTTTTTTGTGGGGATCATTTATTTTGTATGACAACACTAGACATATTGAGTGAATGAAATCCATTTTTGCCATCTTCATTCGTTATTTGCGCTTTGAAGAGTTTGAAGTGTCAAATTAATCTAAATAACACGATATAAATAAAGTTGTTTTTCTGTGATTTAATACGGTTTACACTTTTTACGATACTTAAATATATAAATAACGATGTCCGCAAACAGCCAACGGTCAAATAAGTAAGTTCAAACATATTTTCGTGTTATTTATTCCGGTTTATCTTGTGTTTCGTAATAGAAAGTAATACATTTATGTTTTGTTAAAGGGACCATACTGCTAACTTCGCCAAAAAAGAAACTGCCAAACTGGTGATGCTTCTCAAGGATTACACAGTCGTAACCTGCAAACAACTGATCACTGCAGCAATCTACAAAAAGATGCAGCTTGGAAATCTCTGTGACGTTTTCAACTCAGATGGGTCTAGACACCGAAGTGTTAAATTTAATATACATTTAATGAAGGTGTAGGCACATTTTTATATTTATTCTTGTATAGCTGTGTCCTACAACAAAAGGAAAAAATCTTTTAACCCTTTGGAAACAAGGAAGCGGATTATGATCCACACGGATAAAAAAAAATTGAGTTTAGAAACAAAGACAAATAAGAGAGGATGATTTGTTCAATTATGCTTAAGAAGAGCATCAAAAACATTTGCTGCACCAATGAGAGGCCCACCAAAAATTCATACTGCATAAAGAGGAGGTGCACCAAAAGTGATGCAGCAGATGGAAGAAAGGCACAATAAATATATGTAGCAGCAAAAAGAGTTGCATCAAATTGAGGTGAAATGCAAGAAGAAACAATTAGAAAATATTTAATTGCTACTTTAGGGTTTCATGTAAATTTTGTAATGTTTTTTTAATAAAAATGGTTTGTATTTAAGTTATAATTAAACAGTTTATTAATCAAGTCAAATGTTTTATTTATAAATTCTTGTAATAAAGTAGATAGATGCTAACTCACAAATGTAATAAAAGCCCTAAAGAATATCATAGGTCCCTAACTAATGTGTAGCTGTAGTTTTTAGTATAAGTACATACTTGTATGTACTTATAATAATTATAAGTTAATATTATTAGTAATATATAAATAATATTAACTCTAATTCATTATGTATTCTATTGCCTATAATATTAACTTATAATAATTATAAGTTAATATTATAGGCAATAAAACACATAATGAATTAGTAATATACTTAATTATATACTGCTGCGGTTTCTTTAGCTAGTAATGAAGCAAAATAGGTTTGTATGAGCTGCTGTCTATATATACTCTTATTCTTGTATTTTATTTAATTATAATAATTATAAGTTAATATTATAGGCAATAAAACACATAATGAATTAGTAATATACTTAATTATATACTGCTGCGGTTCTGTAGTTAGTAATGAAGCAAAATAGGTTGGTATGAGCTGCTGTCTATATATACTCTTGTTCATTGGCAGTTTAAGATCATTCCCAATTTCAGTAACAATCCAGAGCACTGTTCCCTTCGATAGGGTAACAGTGACAAAAATCTACATCATCCCAGGTTTCTAATGGCGGATGACATTGCCTAAATATTTTTGGTCACTCATTAACACATTCTCATATAATATTATCGTCTTCTTCATCGTCTCATTAATTAAAGTATCTCAATATGTTTAAATTCATCATTAGATAGTAATAAACGTATTTATCATAGTTTGATTTCTGTGACAAACAGCTGTTAGTATATAAATTACCCGCGGCCATCTTTTTTAACCCTCCGATACTGAGTAGTTAACTTTTTTGACTAATGGTTAGATATTTTACCATTGGATGCTCTTACCACGGATCAAAAAACGCATTTTGCTGATATTTAACTAATAGTAACGATTTTTTACCAATAGTTGAGTTAACTACGGATCAAAAAACCGGCCCTTAGCCATGTATTTAAATCATTAGTAATAAATATAAAATAACAGAATTTAATTTTAATATCGTTTATTTATTATTGATAACACAAAAGTTTCTTGTCTAATTACATCATTTTCTTCTGCTTAATCAAGTAATTTCTAAATGCGACTTGCTTTTCCTTAAAAGATCTTTTTATTTTCCCTCGTGCTTTATGTTTAACCATCTGATATGACTTTGTTTTACGCTTTTCCCTATTTGTTTTAGAACAGTTTGCATTTTTCCTTCTGTCTTTATAACCAAACTTTTCCCTCTCCTCACGACCTTTTAGCACACTTTCTAGCCGCGCATTTTTGTCATGCTTTCGTTTTTTGTAAATATTTTCAATGTCAGCGAGTTTTACTAATTCAGAGGATTCATCCTCTTCTTCTACAGCAACTGACTTCCGTTTTACTCCTGTTATATGCTTCTTAATTTGAGCAGCTTCAATTCTTTTAAAATCTTCATCTGTGAATATTTTGTCCATGGCAACTTCGCGTGCTGTTTTAATCTTTTCCTGTATTTCTTCTGCAGTTAGTTTCCGTTTACCTTTTAAAATTTTTCGATTCTCAACAGTTGGTGGAATATTTTCTCCATTTTTTTCACTAGGATCAACCTTTTTCTCTTCTGCCTCATCTTCTTCGGTTTCAGGTTCACTCTCATCACTATCAGAAATATTAATTTCAGAATCTGAAGAAGCAACATCAACCCATTCATCATCAGATTCGGCAACTTTCTTTTTAAGTTTCCTGACACCTTTTTTAGCATTTTCTGTTATATCTTCTTTTTCTAACAAGACTTCTGATCCTGGTACATAATCCTTTATGTCCATTTCACCATATTGCTTTGTCTTGAGATCTAAAGATGCTTCCGAGGGTCGTCCCCTATCTTTTTTATGAAGCATCTTTGGCATTGATTGCCTGTAAAGTTGAATTAATGATCTGGCTGCCATCATGACAGATTTTTCTTTGTAGGTTTTATACTGTACTAAATCTTGGAGAAGATCTTCTGTAACAGCCAAAGGGCAACGAGCACAGATTTCTCTAACAGCATTTAATCCTACTGCCATTACATCTGTAGAATTTCTTTCAGTAATAAAATTATTTGCGATAGACTTCATAACAGGTTCAATAACCTCTGGAGGTACCAGCTCATGAGCAGACTGAGCGGCAAATTGAAGTATCCTTGTGACTTCTCTTTGATGTGGCATTAATAATCTTGCAATAAAAGGATAATAGTTAAACAAAAACAAATTGTGTAAACCAATCAGCCTTGATATAACATCCAAAGTCATTAATTTTACCTCAAATCGGTCATTAGAAGCTTCTACTTGTTTAAATAACTTTTCAGCAAATCCTTGAGGATTGTTTATGAGGTGAAGTGCAGAAAAATTAAAAATAGGTGCTTTCTCTTTCCTCTTTTTGATTTTCTTTGCAATTTTCTTAACTTTATCTACCATTTTTTCACGTTTCCGGGTTTTCTTGTTGAATTTATTTGATATCATTGTATCTCTTGGGTCTACTTCATCTTCACTATCTGAATCTGGCTTCTCCTCTTCCTCTCGACTCAAAAAAAATTTCAGGGAAGCTACCATAACTTTAGTAACCTTTGAAAAGCATCCAATATCAGCAATTATGTTAACAGTTTTATGATCATTCCAAATATTTTTATGGTATAATTCAATCAATATATCAACTGCCAGCTTGGATGTTTTCACATTTGTATCTCGCAACATAGTAAAAATAAAATTCTGTAGTGTTGAGTTTAATTTCATATCTTTATGCTTCATATTCATATTTTTGATGTCTGTAATTATATGAGTTTTTAAATATTCTCTAAGATTTTTATCTTGGCACTTGATTAAGAAGAAAAATATTTCCAATAAGTCAAATGCACTTACAAAATTTTTATTTCTCAAGAGGATGAGGCATTTACACAAGGCTAGCCTCATATCATTATGAAGAACAGTGTTATGCGTTTTTAAAATGTCCACAATCTTTTGTGGGAAAGTCTTCATATCATTTTGATAACACTGAGTAACCTGTGCTAAGAACATTGCTTGCTCATCCAATTTCTTACTATACTGCGTAGGATTCAGGTTAAATATTTCCAACGTTGTTTCAAAATGAGCAAGTTGTTGTCGAAATTCATCTTTATATGAATCTGGATCTCTCTTAACCAAATTTTGTAACTGAGTCAAATTATTTGGTAGCTGATTGTTGTGACGCACCATTTTAATTGTATGTATTTCTTTGCTTTATGGAATTCACATAATATCACAAATATCAGGTTAATAAAATTCCACAATTATTCAACATTTAAAACATGTGGCTTTAAAAATGTTACATGTTTTTAACATGTGAAAAATGACATTTTGATAATGTGTCATGTTCTTGTCAAATGTCATATCAGTTAATGTGTCCTGTGACCATACGTATTCATAATAATTCATATAGATTATTTTATGTTCATTCTTATTTTACTGAATCTTCTGTAATAAAATCGTGAATGTCACTAAAATTTCATTTTAAAATTTAATAGCATTGCAAGGAAATTGCTCCCACTAGCTCTTTCTTACCGAGACTGTTGTATAAAAATGTATAAACCACATTAATAAATCAATATAATTGTTTGTGACAATTTAGGACGCAAAAAATAGATGTACTTATATGTAATAAAAAGTATTGAACTCGAGTATAGGGATTAGTTTCACTTATAGAATTCCAAAGGCCAAAAAATATAATATTTTTTGTCAGTCAGCCTATGACGTCACATAGCGAGCGTGGGTTGAAGGAATGAGGAATGCGTATTCTTACGCGGAAAAATTGATGAATTAGGGTTTTTTAGGTAATATGAAACAAGGACATTACTAATTACTAGCTTTTTCACAATGTTTATTAACACTATTTCTTTATTGATATAGATAGAATCTTTATTACGATAACCTCAACTGTACTTACCTTGCGTATAGATAATTATTTAAATTGTCTTGCATAGTTTCGACGATGTATGTTACAATTTCATAATTTAATCACAACCGTTTCAACTCTCCCTGCAAATTGCATTATATGTGCGAAAGGGGACGAAGAAAAAAGAGAGGGGTGAGTTTCTGCCAGTTCTTCTCACCCGGTTTACGTTCCTGATTTGGAAACTGGTAAGTTCCTTTTGTTTAAATATTGACGTTCATAGGTGTACGTAGTTACCAATATGTCCAAATCAATTTTAAATATGATCGTTAAGTGGCTATAGGCTTAGTAATATTGTTACTTACTTAGTAGTATTGTTAAAAGCTTTTTCTGACATAACCTGGCCATTTCATGAAATATCTTTATTTCGGGGAATCATGACCCATCTGATTCCATCTACAGTTAAGGTTTAGAAACGCGACTTATCGCCAACTAAGTATGATTCCCTGTCAAAATCCAATAAAATTTTGACGTCAAAGTCTAGGGATGCTCGATGATCATCGATGTTAACTCACTGCCTCCCGCACGACCAATGGAACTTAAGAAACAAATTATGTCTTCTATGAACGAATCCACAAATCAGGTTTATTAAAATTTTGAACGCGTATTCATTATTTGCGCCCAGGTCATTCCTTTCGTTCGTTCTTCTTAGTCTCGCTCGCTCTTTTCTCTCACTACTCTTTATCAACAAAGAAATAGATTAAAAGGTTCTTCTTTATCAAAATTACTTTACATTCAGTCAGTTGATAAAAATATCGGAATATGTAATAATTTGTTCTGTTTCTTATTAAATTTCGAACCATTTCACTGTATTTTATTTCTTTGTCAATTATTAATGCAAAAATCATCGATGTTTGGTTTTCGATAAATATCGAACATCGATGTTGGGCTTTCGATTATGACATCGATGTTTTTCTAACATCGATCATCACTACGTGAAACACAGAGTTAGCGCTTTGCTAAATCTTACCCTCATTCTGTATGTATGTTTTCAATTTTAAAAATTAAAATACTGATTGGTACTAAAATTTATTAACATATTTACAAAGTAAAGGACGGAGAAGTTTTAATCTTATGTGGGTAAATATCTAAAAGTACAAAACTTTATAGTGCTTCTTCAATACTCTGTTCCGGAGAATCCGAAGCAGAATTATCATCCTGGGGTTGAATTTGAAGTGACTTCAACTGCAGTTCTAATTCTAAAAAATAAAATTGCTTTATTGTAAGACGAATAGAGTCAGACGAAAAGAAAACCTTTGTTTTGATTTGAGGTCGCAGCAGTGCTTAATAACGTGCTATTACCTACAGTTCAGCACTAATCATTTTTGTGGATAAAATAATTATATTAGCTCGCATAACCGCCACGCCAGTTCACTTTCAGCACACAATACACATTGTAAATCTAATAATAAAAAGTTTATTTTTAATTATTTATTGCTTTTGTGTATAAGAATAAAGAGTAAATAAGCCGCACACAACCTTTATAGCGCTTAATCAGTTTACAATCAAAAATTCAAATATTAAATATTATTATTTTGTTTTATGTTTTGAGTAATACTGTATATAATACTCCTGTGGTCCTTATTGGAAATTCCATCTCACAGCTTATCCTTCTTAGGCAATTAGTTTAGGATCTCCGCCATTAAGTTGTGGAATAGGCTGCCCTACTTCATACGATTGGCTACCTCCCTAACATCTCTTAAAACCCTTCTACATAAACATGTTTTAACCATATCCTATCCTGGTCAATAACTTCTGTAATTCTTGTATTTCTTATTCTTTTGTATTGCATCGCAATTCATGAATTTGTGAGATTAGCTTTTAAGTTTATTTTATGAATTTTTTGAAGTTATACTTCTTTAGGCGTGAAATTTTACGATGCGCGCGCACCGTTACACAAAATTAACAGAATGAAGTTGCCCACGGAAGATGCTACGGCATTGGATATAATTTAAAAACAACATTCGAATAATATAATAGAATTTATGTTACACTTAATGTAAGAGAATAATAATAAATATTTATTTATTTAATTTTTCAATTGTAACTTTATTGACTATAATGACTCCTTTTCCAGTCTTTGATTATTTAATTGTAATTAATTATTTGCATGCCATCGAAAACTATTTTTAATAATGCCAAAGAAGTATAACTTCTTACGCGCGTACATAAGTACACGCACCCTTTTTTGTATTATTTTAGATTAAGGTTGGTGATTCTATAAATTTTTTTATAAGATTTGGTTATGCACTTCTTGCAGTTTACCCATAATATTTTTTTTTTAGCTTTTTTCCTTACTAAGATTGCCTGGAAGAGATCGCTTTTTAGCCATAAGCCCGCCCGATGCATCCCTTATAATTGTTATGTATTATGTTATTTGTTATTATATAAAACTAAGTGTAAATAAATAAATAAAATAATATAAGGTCCTTACATATGAAATTGGCGTTTTGTATGGGAGGAACAAAAAGTCGAATATTTTTAAATATAATATATTTAATTAATCAAAGTATGAACCATTGTTTTCTATGCACTTTTGCCATCTCATAGGTAGTTCATTGATCCCTTTACTAAAAAAACCAGTCGGACGGGAATCAATAAAATCTGTGAAGGCGATTTGGACTGCCCCATCAGAGTTAAATTTTTTCCCTTGCAAGAAGTAGTCCAAATTTCGAAAAAAATGGTAATCTGTTGGAGCAAGGTCCGGGGAGTACGGAGGATGTCTTAGACATTCCAATTGAAGCTCTTCTAATTTGGTAGCCGTCTGTTGTGCAGTGTGTGGTCTAGCGTTGTCGTGAAGTAGCAGTGGCGTGGAGCGATTGACCAGCCTAGGTTGTTTAGCCGCTAGCTTTTCCATCATGGTTTGCAATTGCTGACAATAGACATCAGCCGTAATAGTCTGGCCAGATTTGAGAAAACTGCAATGAACAATACCGGCACTAGTCCGCCAAACGCTTACAAGTAACTTTTTTGGGGTTAATTTTCGCTTGGGGTAGGATTTGGCTGGCTGGCCAGGATCCAACCATTGCGCTGAGCGCTTTCGATTATCGTAAAGAATCCATTTTTCATCACAGGTAATGATTCGGTTTAAAATACCTTCATTATTGTGCCGGTTCAGTAATGTAACGCAGCAGTCGACGCGCGTTTGCCGGTTTGCTTCAGTCAATTCGTGAGGTACCCATCTATCAAGCTTTTTAATCTTCCCAATTTGCTTCAAGTGAATTAAAGCAGTTTTATCACTAACACCGCAGCCTGCAGCTAACTCGGACGTGGTTTGCGATGGATCCGCTTCCACAATAGCCTTCAATACTTCATTATCAACTTGGGTCTCAGGCCGTCCACGGGGCTTGTTCTGCAGGTCGAAATTTCCAGAACGAAAACGTTGGAACCAAAAACGAACTGTGTTTTCTTTTGCAACATGACCGCCATACACATCATTCACCCTTCGAGTCGTTTCCGCAGCACTAGTGCCACGGCGGAACTCGTACTCGTAAATAATGCGATACTTTAAGTTTTCCATTTTGTAAAATGAGTGACGCAAACAGAAAAAAACAAATGAATGACGGCCATCGAAGCACAAATACATGAGTAAATAGCTGTACAAATTTGAATTTGGAATTCCTTACCAAAGAGGAGAACATCGTGATTAAAGTGGCCAGTACGAAAAACGCCAATTTCATATGTAAGGACCTAATATATGTATATATAGTTCTATTGAAATAATTCAATAATATAATATATATGTATAAAATCACTCTAGGACATACATTCTATTTTATCGGGGGTAGTTGACAAATTTCTATACCCTCATAAGTTTATTATTTATGTTAAGTAAATACATTTTTCTTATCAAATACTTACTTTCTAACTCTGGATGCGTCGGAGCATACATTAAAAGCATTTTTAATATTTTCTCTTGTGTAACAAGACCGGGCCTACCACTCACACTGCGCATTAGCTGTTGCCCACTTGTGACTCCTGTTAAATATTTTGACATTTGTTAGCTTAGTTGTAAAGCGTGTCACTCAAACTATATGGTGTTCAGGTATAGACTTTTGTGCCTACCAAATTCAAACAAGTATTGTTTCACCAGGAATCGAACCTGAACTCTATTCTTTATCTAGTTATAGCAACTACAGAAATGGTCAGTTGTTTATAGGTACGTTTGAATTTGTTTTTATATAGAACAAACGAGCATTGCCAGAAGGCTCGCAAGTACGTTGACGCCCTTTTAAGAATGGGCACGCTCTTTTCTTGAAATTTCCAA